AGCCACGACTGTGACTTCCTCGTGACGATGCTCGCGGGGCTTGGAGTCGGTGTCCCCGTCCGGGTCAGCAGAGTGGGCACATTCCGCTTCTCTCTGGGAAGAAAACTACCAGCTCTTTCCCACTTGGCCACGTTAAATGGCAATAACCGTCATACTGAACTAGGGACAGATGCGTGGACATCTCTTTTCTGGGGGGCGGTCACAAGGTGACTGGTATTTATCCACTGGCCACCACCTATAAGTCTGTGAGCCAGACAGGCGGATTCGTAACCATGCTGCTCACAGACGAAAAGACCCCAGGAGGGACGCGACATGGCCAGGGTCACACAGATCAACAGTGGCCCAGACCCGGGTCTCCTGATGCCCCTCCGGCACGCTGTGTTGCTGTTCAAGAGCAGGCCCTGGGGACAGGATGTGGGTGGAGAGGTGTGTGCTTGTGCCTCTTTCGTGTTCAAGTGCAAACACCTCGTGCGTGTTGTCTTCTGTCTGGCACCAAGCTAGGCCGCGGAGGCGTCGGCCTCTTGCACGGCGGTGTTTTGCAGCCTGGAATGGCAGACAGATGTCACGGGAATGAGGGTGTTTCCGACCACTGCTGGAGGCTGACTCTGAATCCGAGCGTCCTCTGATCTGAACCGCGTGCCAGCCCTGCCCTAAGGCGGTTAACCTTTGGAACGTAATCTGATCTGCTGCTGTCCTGGGCGTCTGTGCCCAGGTCTCCCAAGGGGACTGCCAATGAAAAGGCTCAAATTCCTCCTTCATTAGCCCAAAGTTCCAGAACAAGAGGCAGAAACCCAGCCGTGACCAAATCGTCAGGGGTGAAGTTCTGCCTTCAGGTTTCCCCTTCCTGGCCGGGGGCTGAGTGTCCAGAGCTCCCAGGAAGGAAGCTCCCAGGACACTCCCTCGGGCTACCCCCTGCTGGACCTGGCAGGGGGTCCCTAACGCCAGCCCCTGTAACTGCAGGCTTCTGTAAGCATTCACTGCCACGTTCAAGCTCAGCCTCTCAGGGTCTTTTGAATGCTGTTCCCTGTGTTTGGAACGCCCTTCTTCCTCTGGCTGGTCCTTTTCCAACTCGACCTTCTGATACCCGCAGGGGCCATCCCTTCCCTAATTCCTGTGCACGCCTGGAATATTTTGCACTGGCTCCTAGGGTCTCAGAAACTTTGGTCATTAGCTCTCCTTTCTCTACATCCCGATTGGACCATTGCACCCACAGTGCCCAGCCCACAGAGCAGGTCCTCATAGCACTCAACGAACGAATGAGAGTGAATTTCCCTTCTATACCCTCAGCCACGTGGCACCCGCAACGCCACAGCCCCCGCTGGCCTCGCACCAGGGTCTGAGGCATCAGAATCAAAAGCCTCCGCAGGGTTCATCTCTGACCCCTCCCTGCACATCCTATCCCCCACCCCCACCCCCACCCCGGGGCTGTCCTCTTTACTGGTGCCTTTGACACAAACGGAAATATGTTGTGGTTTTCTCAAGTTCTGCTGCTTGCTTGCTGTCTCTCACTCTGCTGGTCAATACAATACCGTGATGTATGAGGGAACGTACACCCACAGGGGTGTATGGCAAGATAGGGTTAGGATGATAGGGGGGGGTCCCAGCCACTGGTGGGTTGACCCTCAAGGATTTGCCGATGGCCACGCCTTCCCGGCCTTCGGGGATTTCAAAGATGAATAAATCGGTCCTCGCCCTCCAAGAGCTTAGCCTGGGGGTCTGGAGGTGGAAGATAGAATCAACACCAGCAAGAGCCTGTACCGTTTAAGCACCTGCTGTGTGCGTGTGTGTGTGGGGGGGGGCACATAACAGTCACCATCTTTCATTTGTACGATGACCTTGGAATTTGTGAATTCGTACTATGTGATAGGCTATGAAATTAAGATAAGTGAGCTGCCCTGTATCCCGGAAGCTTCTGGGAGTAGGATTTGAAACCAGACCTTGCCAAGGAATGGCCACAATTTATCCTTTACCAGGATGCCACTTCAGACCTCTACTCTTAGGAGTGTCTGTGTTCTTCTTCTCCCCGTCCTGACCATCCCGGGTTCTCTTCCTCTCGTGGACCCTCTCCCAGGAAAGCCGGCAGGACGGGCCCTCAGCCACATCTCTCAACTCTCTGGGCTGCTGAGAACACCTGTGTCTAATTCGGGTCGTGACTCAGAAGTTCCATTCCCGAAATAGGCAACACCGGGCCGCTCAAAGCTGTGGTCTCCTTCTTTGACCTCATGACAATAACCCCAAACTTCTGACCTTGCTTTCTGTGATGGAAAAAAAAAAAAAAAGGAAAGCTGTTCCCAGACCCAACCTCGTACCCAAATTATGCCAACAGGTACAAACCAGTGTGCCCATTATTAAGAGACAAACAAACTAAAAAGTTTAACTCATTAGGACTTAGTAAGTGGCGGGGCACTTTGGTGGCTCAGCTGGTTAAGCGTATGGCTTCAGTTCAGGTCACCATCTCACAATTTGTGAGTTCGAGCCCTACATCAGGCTTTCTGTTGTCAGCGCAGAGCCTGGAGACTGATTTGGATCCTGTGTCCCCCTCTCTCTCTGCACCTCCCCCAGATGAGCTCTCTCTCTCTCTCTCTCAAAAATAAATACACATTAAAAAAAAAAAGACTTGGGGCACCTGGGTGGCTCAGTCTCTTAAGCATCTGACTTCAGCTCAGGTCATGATCTTGCAGTTTGTGAGTTCGAGCCCCGCGTCGGGCTCTGTGCTGACAGCTCGGAGCCTGGAGCCTGCTTCGGATTCTCTGTCTCCCTCTCTCTCTGCCCCTCTCCTGCTCCCACTATCTCTCTCTCTCTCAAAAATAAATAAGCATTAAAAAAAAGACTTGGGACGCCTGGGTGGCTCAGAAAGACTTAGTAAGTGGTGGGACTGTGTGTGTGTGCGTAGTTTGTCCACATCGGGGGAAAAACATTCTCTGCAGAGGCATCCCCTTTGCTTTCTCAAACAGGACGAGATCACACGGAGATGCCAATCACTTGGGAAGACCTGACCACCACCCACTCCAGGGTGAGACCCGAGAAGGAGGGACTTCCTCTTCTACAAGGTGATGTCCCTGGTGCACACCCCCGCAGCTGTAGAACTAAAAAAGTTCTATGTTTTCCGTAGAGTAAATAAGTTTACAGTTAGAAGCAGAACTTTATTCTTGATACAAGCGAATAGCCACTCTCTTTGTTTGAGAATGGGTTTTGTTCAAAACTAACACCGCCAGGGGCACCTGGGTGGCTCAGTCGACTGAGCACCTGACCTCAGCTCGGGTCATGATCGCATCGTTTGTGGGTTCGAGCCCCATGTCGGGCTCTGGGCTGACAGCTCAGAGCTGGAGCCTGCTTCCGATTCTGTGTCTCCCTCTCTCTCTCTGCCCCTCCCCCGCTCACGCTCTGTCTCTCTCTCTCTCTCAAAAACCAACAAACAAAAACCAAATACTGGCCACCCCTCCCCTCCAAGGATCTTCAGGCAGTCAGATATTTTAGGGGTCCAGTCCCCATGCCACGCTCTGGCAAAATCCCACCATCGTAGATGAGAGAGAATGTGACGCAGGGGGAGGCGAGCCGGCCCGAGATCGGGCTGTGGTCCCCTGCCCTTGTTCCCAGGGCCCACAAGGAATCCCTACCCTCATCTAGGCTGGCCTGAGAACCCTCGGTCTCTTCCTGCGGCTCATTTCTCTCTCATGAAGTGCTTCCTTTAGCAGACACAGCGCAGTGCTCTTTTCGAGGTCTCTCTGCGGCATTTCTGGAATGTCCTTCTTCCCCAGTTCTGTTGTTCTATCTCCTGCGCGTGAAGGCAGAGAAATCAAGAGGCCTATTTATACTGGTCCGGGCTTCTGTGGAGCCCATCTCATCGCTGAGTAGCTAAGACAGTTAGTGCTCTAGGGACAACCTATGAATTGCCCGGTGCCTCTCCAAGGGGGTGGGTATGGAGTGGCCACAACCTTGAACTTGACTCGGGCTGGGTGCCGCCTCCAGCCAGGGGAGCATGGAGTCGCCCTGCACTGGATGCCTCCCCCACCGCCCCGCAAAGCTGCAGGGTGCCCCTTCTTCTCCTCCCCTCAACTTAGGGCGTCGAGGAGCCCACGGTCCACGTATCTCCCTGATGAGAACGGTCACCGGGCTCCAGACAGCCGCTCGGAGTTGACACGGCCTGTTCACGGGGCTCGCTTTCTCAGAGAGGTAGGTGTTACCATCCCCATTTTAAAACAGAGCAGCACATCCGTCCTGTATACGCCAGCAGACTGTTCTAGATAAGCTTTGGAGTGCCTGCCTCCCATCATACTCCCCGTAACTTGAGAGCTGTCCCCACTCACAGCCGTGCTCCTGCCAGTGTGACCTCGTGTCTCACAAACTTCATTTAATTCAACCAGAGACGGGCACACACCCCAAGCAAGGCCAGTCGGATATTCTCTCCCAAAGTTTAGCTTCTGGATTCCGAGATGCTTCTCAGGGGTGCCTGGGCGACTCGGTCGGTTGAGTGTCTCACTTCTGATTTCGACTCAGGTCATGAGCTCCTGCTTGTGAGATCGAGCCCTGCTTCGGGCTCTGCACTGGCAATGAGGAGCCTGCTTGGGATTCTCTCTTTCCCTCTCTCTCTCCCTCTCTCTCTCTGTCTCTGTCCCTCCCCTACTGGCTCTCGAGCACACGCACGCCTGCTCGCTCTCTCTCAAAATAAATAAATCAACTTAAAAAGAAAAAAAAGAAAAGAAATACTTCTCAGCCTCTGTTAGGTCCTGAAATGGGAAGGGCCGGTGATGATACTGCCATATGCAAACAGAAGCAATGGAAGGAAGCTTGTCCACAGAGCAAGCGATAAAAGTGTCAGACGATGACCCCCAGAGACCCAGAGAGACGGTTCTGACAGCTTCCCTGTTGGTAGTTCTAATCACTCTAGGGGTCCTTCGGTTTCCTGAAATATCCCTATATCTTTTTGTAACAGAATGTTCTATTAGGGCTTAGACTTACGTAACACAATGGTCTATTAGAATGAAAAAAAATTTTTTTCATTAATGGAAAAATCTACCAGCTGCTATCTGGAGAGACAAAAACAAAAGGTCACCACGGGGCAGGTCCTTGGTGACCTCACTTAACACAAGCGAGCCGGGACTTGGCAAAGCCAGCCCCTCCAGGTGGTCTGCAGAACTCTGGAAAGGACGGGGTCAGTTTGTAGAGTGACCTGGGAAACTCCGGCAAAGGGAAATGGTGCTTCTTCCTGATATTTGGAGCCCCCCCCCCCCCCCCCCCGTGAGGTGATCAGAGATGTCCCAGTCAAAGCTCGAGGACATCGAGGCTCTAAGTAGCTACGGTGTGTGGAAGAAAGACAGGTGGGGCTAGCTGCGATGTTTCCTTCCTGACTTCTAAGAGCATCCAGGTACTTCTGGGCGGCCGGCTTCGCCATCCAGGTTAAGGTCATGAGCCTGGGCTCTCCGGTCCCTCCAGCCCCCCCCCCGCTTCCGCACGCTGCTGGCACATGGGGCCATCTGCACGTAGAAGAGGAATCCGCTGGCTTTGGCAAGTCAACATTTCTGTCTGAGAACTGATTTCAGACTTCAAAGTAGACCCCCGATATGCTTCCCATAATGTCACCCTTCTTGCTTAAACCAGTCTAGGTGGCACTGTGTCCCTGTGATCCAAGTGTCTTGTCTAACTCACAACCAGTGGGGTGGGGGTGGGGTGCCAGGCCCAGGTCCAGGCCAGCCAGACTCAGATCCAAGGACTTCCCACTGTACCCCTTGTCCTCTCCGTTGACCTCCAGGGGAAGAGGCCCTCGGCGCCGCTCCGTGGTTCCGGCTCCTTGTTCTTAAAGAGGGTACCGCGGTGGCATCCCCTGGGCGCTTGGTCGAAATGGTGACTCTCCCCTGCCCCCGACCTGTGGAATCAGAGCCTCATTTCAACAGGTTCCCTAGAACCTTCAGGTAGCACTGCTCCATATCCTCACCCTCCCGTCCCTGCGGTGCTGTCCTATCCGCCACTAGCTCCCTAAAGGACCACAGCCAAGTGCTTGTCCTCTCGAGGCTTCAAGAGGGCCCTCTTGATTCCGATCTGTGGAGGAATCAACTGTTGCCTTCGACAAGACGATCCAGGGAGCAGGGGAGGAGCAGTGATGGCTAACAGATATGGGATTTCTGGTGGGGGGGGGGCCCCCCCCCCCGTGGAAATCCTCTGGGAGAAGTCAGTGGTGGTGGCTTCACAAAACCCGCTAAGTTGTGCACTTTAGTTTTTTATCCGTCGCTAAAAATGGGGAAATTTTCATTTGTATACACCTTTGAAACACGATGACAGGAAAGCAATTAGAAAAGTGAAATCATTTAAAAAATATTGAGGCAAAGGTATATTTTTATTGTGAGAAATTTAAGCATTGTTTTTCTATATTTTGGTTTTATTTCTTTAAACTTTTGTTTAATGTTTATTTATTTTTGACAGAGAGAGAGCATGAGTGGCAGAGAGAGGAGGAGACACAGAATCCAAAGGAGGCTCCAGGCTCTGAGCCGTCGGCACAGAGCCCGACGCGGGGCTCGAACTCACACACCGCGAGATCATGTCCTGAGCCGAAGTCGGACGCTCAACCGTCCCAGGCACCCCTGTATATTTTTGTTTTAAAAAGTTCTATATCTACAATACATTGTCCGCTTTAAGAGGGCACATTTTAATGGGATGTGAATTATATCCCAAGACAACTATGAACAGCAGTCCTCACGGCTGCCCTCCAAAATGCCTCCCTGCCTCTCACCACCCCCACCCCTGCATCTTGCCTCTAATCTCCACATAACTTCCTTAGGCAACCAGGCCATCTGGGGAGAAGTGCATAAATATTGCATTTCTTTGCAATGCCAACGACAGCTCGCCAGATATTGCAGACTATTTACTTTAAAAGATATTAAAAAAAAAAAAAATCTAGAAAACTGAAGATCTAGCCACTGAGACCCTGGACACCAGGCCTGGCATGCATCTTAGGGAATTCCTAGCCTTCAGATCCCAGTTCAGATGTCACTTCGTCCAGGAGCCTCCTCTGATATTCCCACCCCCCCCCCCCGGCTCCCCCCCACGCTCCACCAAGGTTGACTTCTGTCCCCAGACTCCCCCGGCAGACGCCCAGTAATATTTATTGAATGCACAACTCTTGCCTAAGCCTAGAGGCAAGAGTTGGAGGAAGGACATTCAAGAAAACGAGAAAATTTGGTAAGGCGTGAAACCTCGGTCTGTTGAAAGCCGAGCTCACGTTCTGACCCGGGGGGAGCTTGGCCGCTTCCCTGGAGAACTGTACGTTCCCCTCTTTGCTGCCAGGTTCCAAACACTGATGACCCACTTACCCGTGCTCGGCATTCGAAGCCACCCAGGCAGGGCTGTGACGGGCATGGGCACATCTCAGGAGACGGATTTGATGTGTCATGTGTTGAAACGCTCCCCATCTGCCTCATTTTTATTATTAGTGCGCCTATGAGGCAGGCAGAATCCATCAAAGATTAGCGCTCGGCTGGAGTTGCTGGGTCAAGTGGTAAAGCACAAATGCTTCCCTTTCCGAAACTTTCTGAACGCCCTGTGATATCTCGACTGCCTGCACTCTCCAATCACAAAAATAAACGCAGGCTAAACCAAGCTTCCCTTCCTGCCTTTGCCTTTGCAAACCTTGCGGTGTCTGAAACAGTCATATGTTTGTGGCGGCACGTGGTGACATCGCCCGCTGTGATGGACGGCCCCTTCCCCTCGAATGGTCACCGCACCTTCGGTGCAGGGAACTTGGCTCTCGGGCTTTGACGAGGGGGAATCTGGGGTGGGCCGCTGGGCCCTGGGGCCTGGGCACCGTGGCTGGCTCCTTCTGCCTAAATGTGGAGCGAAAACAGGTTTGAGAGTCAGACTGAGCCTCTGTGTCTTAGTTCATTCAAGCTGCTCTAACAAAAATCCCGCAGACTGAGGGGTTTCCACGACCAACATTCATTCCTCACACAGTTCTAGAGGCTGCCGGAATCTACAGAGAACCCCCTTCCTGGTTCACAGATGCCTTACTGTCCTCCATGGTGGAAGGGGGGAAGGAGCTCCCTGGGGTCTCTTTTATGAGGGCACCGATCCCATTCGTGAGGGTGAAGCCCTCATGACGTACCCACCCCCTAAGACCCCACCACCCGACACCAACACGCTGGGAATTCGATTTTCCACACAGGAGTTTGGAGGGGACACAAATCTTTCCTCTACACCACCCGTCAAGCCGCTCACCGACAACTCTGGGCAACTTGTTCTACCTCTCTGAGCCCCGGGTTCCTAACTTTATTTGGTTGAGATGAGGAACAAATGAGATCCTATAGGAAAGGTGCTTGGCTCTGACCAGACTTCTAATCGATGATAATCGCTATTGGCCTCTTTGCCCAGCAGGGAACGATGGGGCTCTCGCCCGCCTGCACAGCCCGACCCCTGTCACCCGGTGTGAGCACTGCCACCAGTGCTCTCGGGGCAGAAAGCTCAGGCAGGTAGGCCACCGGTCCCACGTGCTGCCCTGTGCCGACTTCCGGAGCTGGGCCACCGAGTGGCTCGCTCCTTCCTCACTCACTCTTTTGTTCCATAAACATGAAATGGGTATACACTGTGGGGCCACGGGGAATGTAAACACCGGGAAGCCGTGTTCCCTGCCCTCAAGTACACAGATCTTTAAAGGACACGTGTGACCTCACATAGTTGCGGACACTGGGAATACAGGATGCCATGGGTTGGAGGGAGAGAGGCCTGACATCCACCAGAATCTGCTGGGAGGGCTTCACGCAAGGAAAACCTAGTGGTTAAGCTCCTTGGAAGCTGTGGGGTTACGGTTCACAACCAGTTTGCAAACATTTATAGTTCATTTCTCCTGGCCAAGTGGGCGGGCCGGGCCTCAGAGACAGAAGGAAAAAGGACACTGTGGGCAGGGAGAGTCCCGTCTCAAAGGCATGGGGCCCAAAGCTGTACGTGTGTAAGGAATGGCCAGTAATCCCACGTATCAAGAGTGCCATCGGGTGCTTAGTGGGGAGAGCGTGAGGTGAAGGGGAAAGGGCCTTGGGGCAGCGCTTCAGACCTGGTTCACCTGCTGCTTCTGAACGAGGGCCCGGGGGGCCTGGCTTCCCTCTCCAGGCACGTGCAGGCAGTAAAACCGGGCAGGGGCCAGAGAACAAGGGCTCGCGGACTTGGTGGGGGGGGAGGGGGTTCTCGCACATCACCAAAAATCATTTCTACAAGAGAAATTGGGGAGGGTCTGGCGTGGGTTGATGACATTTTATTTTGCCCCGAAAGAGCAAATCGAACAACTCCCAGGGCCAGCGTTTCGTAAAATAAACGGTAAAACCAAAAAAGGGAAGGAGTTTGGTTTCTTTGAACACTCTCCACACCCCCGCCCCCCCTTATTCTTCTCACTGTGCTTAAGGCCACCCAAACCACCGAACCGAAAAATCCATTTTCACGCTCTGACCCCCAGCTGCTGCAGCAGCATTTGGGGATCCAGGGTTACAGGGCCAGATAACGGCTTACGACCTTCAGGGCTGACACAGAATTGAAGCCCTAAGATGACACTTGTTGAAATATACCTTGCTTCTCTGTCAAACCATCTCCCTGGGCTACACCACCGTCTCCTTGATTCAAAAAGTCAAGAGGCAAGGCCATATCCTCCCCTCCAATGCTCAGGTCCTCCGCTAAATCAAAGCTCATCTCTCCAAACGTGTCCCAGACGCCCGCTGGACTCTGTCTCCTTAGTTAGTGGAAGTGACCTTAGTTCCCTTCCTGCGAAGTCTCAGCGACACTTTGGGCTATTGGAAGACCACCTCTGTGCTCCCGTTCCGTTGAGCTCTGATCTGCGCCAACCCTAGATTTGCAGCTTCCCGATATCAATGACGCAAAGGGACACACTTCGGAATAAGCTACATCAGGGATACAGGGCGGCTGAGAAAAAGTCCAGGATGGGCCAGAGGCCTCGATTTCCCCATATGTGTGTACGAGACTGCATGTTCTCTAGGGGGTCTTGCGGTTCTGACATTTCGGAGCCCAGCGATCCTAAAAGTTTATTGCTCGAAAGGGGTCCTGAGTTTGGGTCTACATCTCCTAGCAACTGAAATGAAGCGAGGAACATACTGGGTTACACAGTTTAGTTTTTCTGACAAAAGAATGCATACAAATTGATTTGCAAGAGCCGGACATTTTCCTGGAATAAAGCTCTTGCCAAAACTTCTGAGTGTCCTTGTAAAGAGACCCTGGCTTATGGAATGGACCATGGCTGCCACTACAGTATTACACAAGACCCACAGACATTGTTCAAACAGATGACGCCTGGGGCGCCCGGCTGGCTCAGTTGGTGGAGCTTGCAACTCTTGATCTCGGGGTTGTTGAATTCGAGCCTCACGTGGGGTGTAGGGATTCCTTTAAAAAAATCTTTTGTTGAGCCTGGGTGGTTCAGTCGGTTAAGCGTCCAACTTCGGCTCAGGTCACGATCTCGTGGTTCACGAGTTCGAGCCCTGCATTGGGCTCTGTGCTGATGGCTCAGAGCCTGGAACCTGCTTCGGATTCTGTGTGTCCCCCTCTCTCTGCCCCTACCCAACGTGCATTCTGTCTCTCTCTCAATAATAAATAAACACTAAAAAAAAATTATTTTTAATCTTTAGAAAAAATAAATAGTAAACAAAGAGATTATGCTTGTAGGGCATTTCCAAAAAGGCAGAGGTCACCGGGAACATCATAACTCAAGGAAGGCATTTCTGCCTGTCATGTTCCTGCACTCTTAGGACAAGTACAGGAAGAACTTACACTTCAGAATCACAACAGAGCCCTCGGCGTGGCTTTACTGCGAGGACCTGGGGTCTCCATTTAAGGGCCGTGGATGGCTGACATTTTATTTTAAGGAAACCAACACGTGTAGCCATACACGTACGCATGCACTTATATATGCATGTTTTTTATGATTATAAAAAGAGTACTAATGTTCAGTGTAGAAAAATTTTAAAGGTAGAAAAGCGTGAAACAAAGAAAATGCCGGTGACGGCAATTCACAAAGATATGTGCCCTTCTAGTCATTTACGTACATGTGATATATCTATACATACATATCTGCCTATGACCCTAAGGTCATTCTCTGGGTCTTTTTTTGCTCCCTCGAGATTTTCATTTAACAAAATTTTCTTCAATTGCGTTATGTAGGATAGTAGTTTGGCAGAATTGTAATATGTATTCCATGAGGAGAGAGAATTAGAGTCAAGTAAATTTGGGAAATGTTGATTTAAACAGTTATTTTTTTCTTCTTCTAGGGCTTCCTGGAGACTTTGCTGTTCTAATATTATCATACGTTTCCAAAGCAAGGATATGGGTGCAATATTTAACTCTGGAACATTTTCCTGCAGGCATTATATAAAACTAGTGTTTTACACACATAAGTAAGTGGCATCTAACATATGGTATATCTTGTAATAAGTGTCACCCATGGTGCCTGGGTGGCTCGGTTGGTTAAGCGTCCAGCTCTTGATTTCCGCTCAGGTCACGATCTCATGGTTCATGGGTTCAAGCCCTGTGTTGGGATCTGCACTGACAATGCAGAGCCTGCCCTCCCCTGCTTATGTGCTCTTTCTCTCTCAAGAATAAATAAATAAAAACTTAAAAAAAGTTAAAAATCTTTCAAGTCTATGATTTTTAATGACCGCATACTTGGCCAATGTATGACTCTTCTAATGTTCTAGAAGTAGAATCAAGGGGTTACAAGGTTTAAAATCTTTAATAAGTATTGCCAAATTTCCCTTCCGGGAGATTGTATTAATTCAGTAAGGAGTAGTTTAGAAGTCTAAGAATTCAGGTTTTTTTTTTTTTACCAGCAGTGGGTACCATTATTATGTTTTAAAAATCTCAACTTGAAAGGCGTAAAATCGTGATTTTTAAAAATCTTATTATTTGTTTTGTTTACCAGATGTGGTAGACAGACTAATGACCCCCAAAGATATTGCTCTGGACAAGAGTTTGGTTTCACCGACCAAAACTAAAGACGGGCATTCCCAACAACCTGAAATTTTACTCCGAAGCACCTGTCCCCCGGAAGTGTGTGCTCACCGAGAGACATAGGCAGAATATTCATGGCAGCATTACTCATAAGGACTCCCAGACTGGAAGCAGCCCCAAATTCCATCAGCCGGAGAATGGGTAGAAACGGCCATGGGACGCCCCTCAGTGAAATACTACGCGGTAAGGAAAATGGAAGGCAGCATACGGATTCTTACAAACACAATGTGCAGCAGAAGAAAGCAGACACAGAAAAACCCACATACTTTGGATTCTATTGAAGAAAAGGTTTATAAACACAGGCACAACTGAGAGGTAATGAATGATGGAGTAAGTGTTTATCTTTAGGGAGGAGGAAGGAAGTCATAGTTGGGAAGGAGGCCATGATGGCCATCTAGGGTTCTGGCAACGTGCCATTTCTTGACTTGGGCAATAAACAGTGACTAAGCTATACATTTATTCTGTG